TGTCTCCTCTGTAATCAACTGGAAATCCCTGGTCCTCACCGCAGGCGCCTATTCCTGACCCTAACGGTCGTCGGTGATCCTCTATGTCACAAGGGAATGTGCTATCACCTGTCCTGCTGCAGCCAAACTGGGACATTGGGCCTTCTTGCAGCCCCACTGACTGTAATGAAAGCAGATCAAGTTTGATCCCTGGGTGGTGGTAGCAGTACAATCCCTGCTATAATGACCAATCTGGCAGCACTTGAAGCAACCAGAATCACCTCCACTACCACTCCTACACGAACCCTCGTGTGTCCTATCGCAATTGCCACAACGGCTACGGTCCTAATGACCTCTCGATCTAGAATCCGATGACCTGGGCCTCTTGCCCGATCCCACAGATGTCTGAACCTCGCCCGACTTCCTTTTCCTGTCTGCCTCTAAGTAAATCTCCATCTCCCTAGCTCGAGCGATCATATCCTCCAGGGTCTTGTAGCTGGACCGGATCATGAACTGTCTAATTTCGCTCCTCAACATCTCGTGGTATCGTGCCCTTTTCATCTCCTCGTCCATCATATATTGCGGAACAAGAAGGACTCTCTCTGAACGTGGCGGTGATCTCTGCTACTGCCTCCGTAGTCTGCTGGAGGTCCTGAAACTCCTGTGCTAGCTGATGCACCTCAATAATTGGTGCAAACTTAACCTTGAAACTGGCCAAGAAATCACTCCATGTCATTGTGTCCAACGCGACATCATCTCTAGTAGCATGTCCAACCTCCTCTCACCAATCACGCGCTCTGTCCTTCAAAAGATAGGAGGTGAGTCGGACCTTGTCCCCCTCGGGGCACCGATTAGAACGGAAGGCATTGGGTCCCTAGCCTCATGATAGTCTAGAGCTCCACGGGCTCTGAAATCTCTAAATGTCAAGGTGTGTGCCCCCATCATAGCCGTCATCTCAGTGCCGAACGCACCTAATCTCTCATCTAAAATCATCATAATGACCTACTTGACCGTACCAAAGATCACAAGAGTTTGATCTAAAACACTGTGCGTAATCTTAACTAAAATAAACTCTATAATCTTCTCATCCAGCTGCCCAGCTCCTGAGCCCAAGCCTGATCCTTCACCTGCACTTGAACTGCCCACTGGTCTGCCACGCAACATCACCATGCTGCAACATATCATAACAACCATCAGAACACTCATCACTATCGAGGGATCACACACACTACAAGTTTCATGATTTCATATCATCCTTCCTTGATTCGAGTATGGATCCTCTGCTTTCAGTAGTATCGGCCCATACTACCTTTCACATTTATCCGTACTTTCCTCAAGAACTGTCTCGACTCCACTAAGTCCCTTCTCACTACTACTGCTCCCACCACTAATCTCATCCTAGGATTTCCCTAGGGTAGTCACCATCCCGCTCTCCGCCTTCAGCTGCATAAGAAGTCCCTACTATCTCCCCCTAACTATCTTGCGAATACCATTACATATCACTAAGACTAGATAATTCTTCGAATAAGAGGTCCTACCCTACAACGGTTGGACTCAGACAAGAGCTGCGAAATAAAGCTTGACATAACCTTCTGAAATTATTTAGTCCTTGCAATATGTAACTTAACATATTCATTCACTAGATAGTAAAAGATAACTAGAACTCCTAAAAGCAAAAAAGCAAGCAATATTCAAGCATTGAGTACACATAATCAAGCATATCCTAATTAGTCCATCATATCACTGACTAAATTGTACTAGCATGCAGTTCATAAAGCTGATACACATATAACAGGCACATAAGACATCCTTCCTAAATCCTTAGCCCTAACCTAGCATGCAGTTCTCATAAGCATATCATAACATAAACTTATATGGGTAATTTGGGAGTACTTACTTGAGCTCTGTAATTGCATACACCACACCCTTTTCTCTTTTTCAAAGTTCTTTTCTCTTTTCAAAATTATTTTCTTTTTCAAAGTCTTTTTTATAAAAAAGCTTTTCTTTTGGAAATTTCTATACCAATTCCTTAGTTTGAGCTCAGACACACCCAAGAGGGTGCCCGAATCCCTCAAAACAAGGCTTTGATACCAACTTGTAACATCCCAAAAATATGTTTCAAAATTTCGTTTTAAAATCATATAAGAAAAGCATATTTCATCAAACATCACAATAAAAATCATAAATTATGTATGTCAAATAATCATAATAAAATATTGTATCCAAATCATGTCAAAATATCAGAGTAAAAATATCCCAGGCTAAATCAATGGTGTGTACACTGCAATCATCTCGAGCTCTTCTCCTTACTATTGGAAGTACCTGAAAACCAAAATTGAAAATTGTTAGCACGAAGCCTAGTGAGTCCCACGAAGCTACCACATACCATACACATAATCACATAACCATATACATTGGGCGTAGCTGGCTATATCGGGCCCCACCCGACATCAGACGAATCCGGTATCAGGCCCCGTCTGGCATCGAGCCTTGCTCAGTATACATATCTACTTCTACTAGGCCCCGCCTGTCTCTGGACCCCGCCCGCTATACATATACCAACAATAACATATAATCATGCCAATACATAACAGTCAAACACAACACTATAACTGCTAGTCTCAAGGCCCCGCCCCTACTCTGCTAATAATGAAATATGGAACCCCGTCCACACTCAGCTAGTGATGAGATATGGGTCCCCGCCCACAGTCACCTCCCTACCAGGCACATACAAGTATCACAAAGACAACAAGTATAACTAAACATTCATTCCTTCCTCGGGTACCACCCGACATTGAACTGTAGTTCGGAAACATACATATAAACCTTCCTCGAGCCTCTCCCGGAATCGAACCAAAATACAGAAACATATAAACTACATCGAGATAACCCCGACATTGGATCTAAATCCGGTATACACTATCATACATAAACGGGCCGACATTGGTGCCTTCAACCCGTTCCTACTGGAGAAAACTCTCTTCACAAGCTGACTACAAAATCCCACGAAAAAACCTCTCGCTGCTAGCTGGAAAATTCTTGAACCACCGATCTCTCGACTTCTCAAGTTATCATTACCAACATAATACTTAGTCAAGAACTGCTAATCCTTCTTAGGGTAAAATGACCATTTTACCTCTGGTCAAAGTCAAAGTCAACGCTTGGTCAAAGTCAAAGTCAACACTCCGAGTTGACTCAACTCGCCGAGTTGCTCCATCCACTCACCGAGTTCTACAAACCAGAACCCCAAAATCGTGATCCAACTCGTCGAGCCACCTCCCTGACTCGCCGAGTTCCATGGCTACTCATAGTCACGATTGTATGAATCAACTTGTCGAGTCCCTTCACAGACTCGTCGATTTCAACCTTAAACTGGATCAGGACATCACTACTCAACTCGTCGAGTTCCCATATGGACTCGACGAGTCCCATAGTCTGTTTGGTCCATCTTAACAAATTAAGCCTCTGCTCTCCAGATCAAAGCTCTAGACTCCTTCTACTTACTAGAGATGCCCTTTCAAGGGTAAAGTTTATAACTTTACCTGCTATTAGTCCTTCTTAATGGGTTTAGCTAAAACCCTAGTTCTTTAGGATATATATCTTTGTCCAAAATCCAAAATACTTCCAACCCAAACATTAAAATCGATATTTGGGTCCTAAACACCAAGTGAACATGTAAAGTCTCAGGATTTCCTTCCATGCATGGCCTTTTGGGGCTTAAAAGGCCATAACAACACTTTAAAGCTTGCATGGGGCTTCCATGGCCATAAAGTTTGCACCATTATGCCATGAAACCCCTTCTAGATCCTAGATCTGAAAGATAAGTTACTTGGGACATCCATTACCCAAGGACTAAGCTTCTTGGACCAAAACCCTCATAAAGTGTAAATAGAGAGACCTATCAATCTATTAAGCAAGGTTGAGACTTGCTTACCAGAAAATAGAGAGGATAAGATGTGGTTTCTAGATCTATTAACTTCTCCTTGAACCTTCTAGCTCCTTCTTTTTCCTCAAGCTTCAAGAACACACAAAGATCACTCAAAATGGATCATAAGCTCACACAAAGCTCTAATGTTTCGAGATCTAGGGTTTGGATAGTGGAGGGTGGAAATGAGGCCATAAGGTAGGGATTAATATGCTTAAATAGGGTGGAAAACCCTGAATCTAGGGTTTCCCAAACCAAGACCAACTCGTCGAGTTGGTCCTCCCCAACTCGTCGAGTAGGTTTCTCAACTCGCGTCCCAAAAACTTATTTCTACTTGTCGAGTTTTCCCCCTTAGACTCGACGACTAGACCTTCAATTTGCATAATATATTTCCTTAATTAGCCTTTTGGTTTCTGGGTGTTACAGTTTGAAGATGGATATGAGAATTATGATTGGTGATTTCAGCCATATGTATATATATGAGGTGTAAGAGTGATGTGATGTTTGCATTGGTATGTGTAATATATCACATTGGGAAAAGAACCACCGAAATCAAATGGCAGCACCACTGAAATCACCATTCAATTTTGGTCTAGGCACTACCGAAATCAAATGACCGCACCATCGAAATCACCATGCACTTTCGGTCTAGGCACCACCGAAATTACATGTGATTTCGGTCTAAGTACCACCGAAATCACTTGGTGATCTCGGTCTAAGCACTAACCTAAATCACATGTGATTTCAGTCCAAGTGCCAACCAAAAACACCATGTTTTAGGTCCAAATCAATTTACCTTCTTTGACTTGTTTTGACCCAAAATAGCCGGTTGTCACACAATAATCCATTTCTTTACTGTTTCTACGCTCTTGAACCCAAACTTATTGGTTTTCTGTTTAATCGTGTGCTCCGATTCTCAGGTTTGTTTCTGCTGAAACTATTAGAGCTCTTACGTGCACCAATTGTTTGTGAAAAGCCCTATGAGATTCATCATTCTATAAGGTTTTGAATTTTTGGATCAATTTTCTATTATAATTGTTTTGAACAATTTCCTTTTCCTGCTAAATAATACATCAATATTAGCTTTTTAACATCCATGAATGGAATTATGCAGCCATTGATTTCTTATTTAAATATTGAAATTTTGTTACAACGAGTTGCCAAGACCAATGATGTTGTAAGTGGTGGTAACAATGAGAATAATGACGTTGGAGCTCTAACATTCATGGTGTTTCCACCTTTACAGCTCCTGGAATCAAAAGGATACCCGAGAATTAGTTCGAAAACCAAAATGAAGGGTATGTTTTACTATCTTTTCTTCTATTTCCTTCATTTAGAATCATGGTTTTTCATGCCTAATTGCAGTTTTTGTTATTCCATATGATGGAAACATTGAACACTCCACCTTCTATCCATGACTTCTTAATATTATATGTTTTTTCTAATACCCGAAACATTCATTATATGTACTGTGATGCATTTTTAAGGGGTGTTTGTTTTGTGGATACTGGTGGAATTGGAATATGAGATTCCATTCCATGGCATCTAAATGGACATAATTAAATTCTATTAGGATCCCTCAGGTTGCATGTTTAATGGATTTCATTCATAAGTTGGATGGAAGAGATTCATTTTTATTCTCCCTTTTTTTAAGAAAATACCAAAACACCCTTACCCTTTTTGTAGTAGGTTATACTTGGAACGGAACTACGATGTTGATCAAGATTTTGTGTTTTGAAATGAAGATGACGGAAGGGTATACTTGGGCATTTGGGCTGCAAAACATAAAGAACAAATTTATGACGATGGGATCTGTGAATGGTTTTGATGACCTGGAATATTGATTATGTATATAAATGGGTTGTCAGTGTTTAATTTGTTTTAAGTTGTGAGTTGAAAATAGCTAACCACATGAAAAGTATTAAAATACGAAAAAAGTTCCAAAATAAATAGATATGAAAATTTTATTGGAATATATAAAATCTTTGACACGTATCAAAGTGTTGTTAATTTAAAATATATCAATATTTTTTCATTAATATAAATTGAATTAATTGTTTATTCTTTGTATCTATTTTAAAATTTTATTTTAAAAAACATTTAATGTTGATATTTAACTATTATTTTTAATAACCCGTCTAGTTCACCGACTTCATACACATGTTGGTTTTGGTATGGTTATGTAATAAAAGATGAACTAAAGAAAATTGAATTGTTTTCTTGCAGGAGTTCCTCGTCGGCCACTGTTGATAAAGTAAGAACACTGTCTTCATTCTTCCCCATCGATAACATCTAATTAGACTTTGTAACAATGTGGCTTTTCGGAAAGAAAGGGGAATCGGGGTTTTCATCTTCTTCAACAGCGGAGGAAGTTACCAATGGAATCGATGGATCTCGTCTCACCGCCATTGTTACCGGTACGACCTTCCTATCGCTTTCTAATTCAAGCTTCATTCCACTTAAATTAATGAAAATAATATCGTTAGGGTTTTTTTTTTTTTTTTTTTTTTTTTTTTTTTTAAATCTCAAAATTCTTACTCCATTGATGTCAAAAACTGAACTATGTCCGTCAACTAATTTGTAAACCATACTTAGGAGCTACCGGTGGTATCGGAGCTGAGACAGCACGAGTCCTTGCTCTACGCGGTGTACATGTAGTTATGGCAGTAAGAAACACCGAAATGTGTAGAAAAGTTAAAGAAAATATACTTACTGAAACACCTGATGCTAAAGTCGACATAATGGAGCTTGATCTCAGCTCTCAGGCATCCGTACGGGATTTTGCAACCAGATATCGTTCTTCAGGCCTTCCCCTACACATTCTAATGTAAGAAACCATCCGCTACATTGAATTTCTCTCGTAATCTATGAAAATTTTAGGGTTTTTTGTTTGTTGCTGTAAGTAACAACGCAGGGGTTTTGGCGCCAAAATTCACACTCTCGAAGGACAAAACCGAACTGCATTTTGCAACAAATCATTTAGGTCTGTTTGGAGACAATTGGATGTTTACACCATTTCTACAATACCATTGATTCTTGTAAATGTTTCAATCCCTGTTTCATTCAGGTCATTTTCTTTTGACGAATCTGTTGCTGGAGACGATGAAGATTACTTGTCACGAACAAAAAACTGAAGGAAAAATCATCAACGTATCATCCGAAGCTCATCGTCTTGTGCTCAATCCAACTTTCTCTGATCAAATTAACGACAAATCAAGGTAAACAAAGAACAAAATTCCAATTTTTTATATTTTTCATCATAGTACACTAGGACGATGGTTTACTGCAATTTTGCAGTTATAATCATATATATGCTTATGGATTATCAAAACTGGCTAATATACTTCATGCGAAAGAACTATCAAGGCTTTTGAAGGTAATTTTGGTTCTATAATTAACTAATTTTCTATATAAAGTAATTAACTAATTACTCAAATTCCAATCAGGAGGAAGGAGTCGATTATATCACCACAAACTCATTACATCCAGGAGTCATTGTCACCGATCTTTTTCGTAACTGTAGTATTTTGTCGGGTATGTCTATATAAAATCCTACAATATATATATATTAACTAAAAAAAAATGTTTTATATATCAGTTTTATTCACGCAGTTATCTTCAACTCTGTTCTCAAATGCGTGGCAAAGGATGTTTCACAGGTTTGTAATTAAAAATTGATTTATTGAATTTGGATTTTTTTATTTTGTTTTTTTACAGGGAGCTGCAACTACATGTTATCTGGCATTGAATCCAAAGGTGAAGGGGGTGAGTGGTGAGTATTTTTGTGACAGTAATTTGGTAAAACCATCGTCGAAAGCTGCGGATCCTAAGTTAGCAAAGGAGTTGTGGGAGTTTAGTTTGACTTTGACCACCTCCAAATGATTTACAAAGATAATTAACCAAAAAAAAAAAATTTATAATTATATTAGGTAATAACCCATGTACTATAAGGTTGATAAATTTAAATAATACAACCATTATAAAAATGTAGTATTAATCATAAATAACCTTAATTTAATTAATAAGAGTTTACTTTAATTTTTATTAATAGCATTGCACTTATATTTATTGAAAATTTTGTTAATTTAAAAACATAAAATAGCATTGTAATTTTATTTCTAGTACACGTTAGCATTCTAACTTTGCTTCATATTAATAAAAAATAAAAAAAATAATAAAAAAAAGGCAACCATGTAAATTTTTGAAAAATATACTTATAACAAAAAAAACTATTTAACATTATACAATGTAAAAGAAGACTTTATATAGAAGAATTATGTTTTATATTTTACTTTTTATGTTATAATTATATAAAAAGACTAATATTCTAATACAATTCTTACAGTGTTCCCTGTGAATTGTCAAACTTTAGTTTTAATTAGTTGAACTATAAATTGATATTTATACATATTAATTGCTCTTTTCAAATTAATAACATTTGTTGTGGTTACTAAATATTAAGTTACTGTTTAGAGAAATTAAATATCCTCCTACCATTTTCTTCTACTTATATTTCTACCTATGTGAAATAATGACAAGTGTCATATTTGAGTAATATTAATTATATTTTAATATATTTGTTATCATTTCAAATGGGTAGGAGGATAAATAGGAAGAAAAGTATGACCATATTTAATTTCTCATTTTATATATATATATATATATATATATATATATATATATATATATATATATGTGTGTGTGTGTGTGTGTGTGTGTGTGTGTGTGCGGCCTCAATTTGATTTCCACACAAAGCCTCCGAAATGTCAGTGTCGGGTCTGGGAATGACAATGAGACAGATAATAGTAATCCTAGAGAAATACCTGATTATATGGTTGTATCACAAATCTGGTCTCGTCACGTTGGGTGCTTGGTTAGTAAATAATCACCAAGTTCAAGGTTATACCCTCGGCTATCCTATTTATGTAGTTAGTTGTTCGTCATTCCAGGTAGTGCAGATTGTTCAAGATTACATGTTGTAATCTTGCAATCTAACTTGGTTTGTTATTTCTTCAGTTGTTGGTTTATTATATCCACTGCTAATAATAAAGGGAGAATTTCATATATGTTTCTCTTAAACGTCAAAATATCATATTTGCCAAACTTAATTTCTCAATATCATATTTACCTTTCATAAACCTTCAAAATATCATATTTATCTAAATCTTTTTTTATAATGTTTTTAATATTTTATAATTATTTTTTTATACTTTAGAACTATTATAATAATTATGAAATTAACCATATTACCTTGACGTCTATAATAATGGAATGTGAACTTCTAAATTGTTGGAATGTCGACATCTTGACAGACAAAAAGATTTATTTTCAACCCTTTCTATGAAATGTATATTTTGATTGTTTAGTACTTGTTATTGTTGATTGTTATTATGTTCTAGATGGAGGATATTTTAGATATTACCATTGATATTTTAATGTTTAAAAAGTGCATATACGATATTTTGATATTTAAGAATGACATATATGATATTTTGATGTTTAAAAAGGATATATATGATATTTTGAAATTTTATGAAGGGTAAGTATGATATTTAGAAATTTTATGAAGGGTAAATATGATATTTAGAAATTAAGTTGGGTAAATATGATATTTTGGTATTTAAGAAGGGCATATATGAAATTCTCCCAATAATAAAACAACTATGATGGTACCCAATTTCGATTAGACTGTTTTGTTTTATATTTTTAGACTTCAATATGTATTTTGCAATATTTTGTAAATTGAAAAAAAAAAAAAAGCAAAATATATACAAAAACGGTGGTTTTTCCAAACTTGTTTCATCAAATCTGATTTTGATCCATCCTATCTTGTTCTTGTACATTTGAATTATTTTTCTACAAGTTCGGTTTTGGCCCTAATTCGGTTTGACTTTCTTTGATAATTATCCGATCTCGTTTTGAAACCGACCCGGATTCCAAAAAAATCCGGTTTGTGAACATCTACATTGAAGACTGCTTCACCCACACAAAGATCGGAGCCGGATACCATGATTTCTTTACCAACACCTAAGAAACCCTACTATGAAGGGGTGAATATCACGTCAAACTCTTCACCGTTCACAATCCAATTTCATTCACCGTTTTTTTTGCAACTTTACTATTTTCTCGGATATGCATGCAATCCTACGATATATGTTGACTATAAACATGCTTGAAAAATCGTTTTTTCTGTTTTTTTTTTTTTATTTTTTTATTTTTTTTTTATTTTTTTTTTACTTTTCTCATTTTTATGTTGCTTTTTACTTGATTTGGTTTCCAGGGAGAGGCTGCCACATGCTATTTAGCATTGAATCCAATTTGAAAGGTATTTAATAACTGTAGTTTAGTTTGATTTGGCCCATTTAAGTGATCATTCACTTGGCACTTTTTAACAATTTTGTATTAAATAATGAATCAATTATATAAAAATATACAAAGACATTTTATACACAAAGAATCAAAATCCTTTTCTTGAGCTTTCCCAAACTTCCACGGATTGTTGATCTTTTCTAGTCACAAACATTTTGTTTCCACTAAAACCCAAATTCGTAACCCTATTTCCTCCCAAATCCTTTGTTCTTCCTAAAACATTCTTTCTAAAAACTCTTTCATCTTTACCATTTTTAGAACCACCCATGAAAACTTCCGACCATACCTCCAATTCACCTTCTTTGCTACAAAACACCTGATTTCCATGGCTTTCAATCTTGCAACCAAACCCTTCTTTCTTCCCTTTAATTGTCCTCTTCGTGTCACCAAGACAATTCCATGAGCTATCAGAATCAATGTGCCTGAAATCAATGTATGACACATCACCTGAGTTTACCCCAATCTTGAAAACAGCCGAAAGGGTGTCTGAAACTGTGATATCTGAAAAACAATCGGATTTTTCTTTGATTTCCCACACGATGTCGCCAGATCTAATGTCCAAAAACTTTATGTTTCCAGAAACCCCAGATGCCCCACTATGAGATCCTGACGCCATTAACAGATTAAGGCTAGAAACCCAGCTTAACTTTGTCGATGGAATCGCGGAATCAAGATCAGCACCAAAGATTTCATTACGTGCAATCTCGGAAACGACTCTGAAACCATCGTTTATGTCATAAACCATGATGGAATTTGAATTCCTACGACCTGATTCGAAACTTGTAAATAAGAACTCAGGAGAACTCCCGATTGCTTGAACAGTTGAGCTTGATCGAGTCATGTTTTCCCAATTCAAACTTTGCACAACAGAACCCATATCAAGGTTAATAACTTGCAGCCCGGAGAAATCAGTCGCGCCTGCTGCAACTACGTTCGATGATAACGACAACAAAGAATCGATAGCTGTGAATGGAGTCAAAATTGTTGACTTTCTTAGCAACGACCAATCAAAAGACGTGATTTTGCTTCCATGCGCCACATGAACTGACCCGTAAGGTGTCGTCGCGATAACCGAAGGTGAATCTCTGCCACTGAGAGGCAAAATTGTTGATTTTTCGAGATTGAATGCGTCGAATTGAGATGGGTTAGAGTGAGATTGAACAAGAAGATGATCAATCCCGTAAAACTCTGCTTCAGAGATGATATCTTGGATGTCAAAAGATTTAGCTTTCGACGGGAAATTACCAGTTCGTAAAACGGAAAGAAGGATTGAGAAAAGATCAGGGTCTCTGTCGATAAACGGGATTTGATCGTAAGAATTGAAGAGATTGGAGAAGAGGGTGTTGGAGCCAGCTAGGGTTAGGGTTTGTTTGGTGGTTTGAAAGAGCTGACCTCCGACGTCAATTGTGACGACATTGGTGGATGAATGGTGGTTGGGTTTGTCAAATTTGTGATTATTGTGGGAAAACGCAATCGAGAGAGGGCCTGATTGTGAAAAAGGAGGCATCTTTCTGCAGAATTGAGAAAAAAAGATGTGATTCTTCTTGAAGAATTGAAATGGGGTTTGATGATGATGCTGATGAAATGGGATTGTTGGCGAGGGGTTTGGTTTTGTAGAGGTGTTTTGGGGGATGAAGGTGCTCTAGAAGGGGGAAATCTAGTGGTCAACAATGGTGGCCTCTGGTTTGTTTTTAATGAGACCCAAAGTAAAGACCAGACTTTTTAGGACGTTACGTTGACTAAAATTATACTTTGGATTCGAAACTTCTTGATATTAACTGTGAATCCAAAAGATATTTTTATATTTTTTTTAAATATTTGCTTAAACATATGATAACGGTAAACAATAGTAAGAATATCAACGATAGATATCGGTAATCTTATTGAGATAAAATACAAAAAGATAGCTGACATCTATGTTTAACAAAAAATCAAGAAAATAAAACCAATATATCATGTAGTCTAGCATGAGCTTAAAAACATAAACATGTATAATTATCTTTTCATTCACATAAATTATCAAATCTTGTGGATACATACATTATTTCATTCACCAAAAAAAAATATTTAACAATTTAAGAATCAAAGAAAATATATTTTACAATTTAAGAGTAAGTATACAATTACCCAGGGCTACAAGGGTACAAGAGTGACTCTTGATCTACCTCACACAAATTTGAAGTGAAATATATATTATATATAAAGTTTATATTTCTATTGAATAAAAAATACCAAGACTAATTCTACCCCGTCCAAAACTTAAATTCATAATGAATGCAATAATTTATCTACTGAGATATATCGATTAAAAAATTAATACAATAATTTTTTGAATAAATCAATTGTATTTCAATCTCCATGGTGAATTCTTCATTCATCATTGTTAGTATATTAATATATTTTTTTATTATCTTAGTTAATCAATTAATTCCAACTTAAACAATTTACTTTAAAATCATATATTGTTACATGTTATTACCATTCGAAATATTTTGCTATTTGTTCATATTTTGTAAATTATTTGATATATCCTAAAACAAAATATTGACTATACCACCACTGCAATTACCTATAAAATAAGCATGAGAAACAATTTAAGATTAAGTATACAATTACCTATAAAATAAGCATAAGAAACAATTTAAAAGTAAGTATAAAATTACCTGTAAAATAAGCATGATAAACAAATGGTATGAAAACT